TCAAGCCCATCGGCTGGAACTTCTCCATCAAGGGCAAGAACATTACCATCTCCGACACCGTCATCGACGCCCGCTCCTCGAGCAGCGCGTTCCCCTTCAACACCGACGGCTTCGACGTCGGCGCCAAGGACGTGACCATCACCAACAGCAACATCTTCAACGGCGACGACGCCATTGCGATCAACGACGGCGCGAACAACGTCGTCTTCAAGCACGCGACCATCGGCTTTGAGACGCACGGGATGAGCGTTGGCTCGCTCGGATCCAAGGTCGCGTCCGTTGCCGACGTGCAGAACATCCGATTCGAGGACGTCACCGTCAAGGGCGGATTGTACGCTGCTCGCTTCAAGAGCTGGATCGGTGGACAGGGTCTGGCCAAGAACATCACCTGGAGCAACATCCGCGTCGACAACGTGACCTTCCCCATCTTTGTCACCCAGACATACTTCAACCAGGCCAGCGCTGGCGGCGACAGGCCCAACAACTCGTCTGTCATAATGGAGGACTTCACGTGGGAGCATTTCTCGGGTAACATCAACACCTTCAGCCCTGGCGATGGATCCTGCACTTCCGATGTAAGTTCCGACCACCTTACTCAACCTCCGGGGCTGTTGCTGACTATTTCGTAGCCTTGCTGGTACAACGTTGGCCTCGCCAATCTTACCCACACCGAAGCCGTTATCATTGAGTGCAACACCGAGAAGTCGTGCAAGAACTTCCAGACCAAAGACATCAAGGTTCACCCGCAGAGCAAGAGCGAGTCCAAGCTCATCTGCATGAATGCGATGCCTGATCTGAACCCCCAGCTGGGCTTCGACTGCAAGAATGGCACCTTCGCTCCTACAATCTGAATAATGCTGCATAGAGCAGCGGATAATTGAATCACATTTTGAGCATATCCGCGGTTTCAATATGATACAAATTCGTGCTCGCAATTCGACTACACGAGCATTGACTTGCCCGTCCTGCCTTTCATGTCCGACCTCACTCAGAGTTCATCCTCTGCGCTCAAGCAGTGCTCGGCGCCCTCTTCTTCAACTTGCAAACCACCCCCTGAGTCCTGTAAAACCACCGCGAGCTCGTCCACCACTTCTCATTCGGGTCTATCAACTCAATCTCGAACCTCGCAATCAGCGACGGGACAACCTTGTAAATCTCCATCAGACTCAGATTCCTGCCCAAGCAGATCCGCGACCCGCCGCCAAACACAATGTCCGTCGCGTTCCACTGTCTCATGCGGAGCTTATACGCCTCATCGTCTTCCCCGTCCTGCTGAAGCCACCGTTCCGGGCGATACTCGTCCGCATCAGCTCCGTAGACGTCCTTGTTGCGGCCGACGATGTAGGGATTCATGCCGATGAGGGAGCCGCCGGGCACGACGGAGCCGTCGGGGAGGGCGAGGCCGGTTTGCGGGACGATGCGTTCCATGGTCATGGAGACGGCAGGGTGGAAGCGCAGCGTCTCGCGGCAGATGGCTTCGAGGTAGGGCAGGGCTCGGGCAGCGGCGTGGGGGGCGGGTTTGTCGGCGGGGATGTTCGTGACGACTTCTTCCTCGAGGCGTTTCCAGATGCGAGGGCTCTTGAGGCAGTAGTAGAAGAGGGCACGCATTGTGATGGCCGTTGTGTCGGCTCCAGCGATGACTGTAAGATATGTCAACAAAGTAGCTCGGATATACGTTCAAAGACTCTGCTTACGGTTCAGGAGGAGGTATCCGATGATTGTTCCCTCATCCACGATGTCGGGATGGGTGCCCTTTGAGTCGACGAAGTACTGAAGAAAGTCGGGCTTCTCGGAAACAAAGTTCTTGTCTTCGCCCTTGAGCCTGGCGGTCAAATGCTCCACGGCGATTCTTGTGACGTTCGATAGGTTCGGAGGCCCTAGGGGGTAGACGGGGTTCTTGTCCAGCCAGTAGTCCATCCAAGGCATCTGTCCGCAGAGTCCGAGGTAGTCGATGGACTGGTCTCCCACGGCGAGCGTGCCATCAAAGTCGCGGCCTGCGTCCATGTACCCGAACTTCTTGCTGAACGTAACGGCGCCGAGAAAGTCCCATGCAACTACATAAGTGAGATTTAGGACACACGAAAAGGCTTTAGGATTGAGAGCTCTTACAGAAAGCCAGCCAATCGCCAAAAACGCAAGCTTCGCCGGTGTCTACAAAGCGCCTTTGCAGGTGGTCGCAGAATTCATCGATGCACCTGTCCATATGCGGCTCCATGGCGAGGACGCTGGGTACGGAATAGTGCCGCACCACAGGTCTCTTCATGCGTGCGTGTTCCACGTTGTTTGTCTCCGAGAACATGTGATATGTGATCTTCCCGTTGATGATGGAGCTGCTGTTCTTGTACAAATCGGACTGGTTGATACTTAGCACAGCTTCCCTCAGTAGAAAGCCTCTGACAGGCGAGGTACGTTACCTTAGACCACTTTCCGTCCGTGCCATACACGATCTTAATCAACTCCGGAATGTCGATGTCTAGTAGATTGGGCCCCAGGCGTACGATCGGGCCGTACTTGTCATGGAGCTTCTTCATTGTTGGTGCGTAGTTGGCGTTGTACGTATGCCACAAGCGCCATAGGTTTGTCCATCCTGGAGGGGGCGTATTAGTCTCAACTTCGTTTCCAGTTGTCGACTGAACAAGATGTTGAAGTTGGTATCTTACCTGCAAGAAATGGCCCAGGATACTTCTTCAAGGGAGATGTCTGCCATGAGACAAGGAACCACACAAAGCAGCTCAGAGCTGGAGTGAGCAGAACAATGCTCGTCTTGTGGCTCTGAGCTTCGCCCAAGATATTTTGCCAGGGAGGGGTAGTCCCATTGGTGAGGAAAGGGACTGAGTCCATGGCGACCAGACCGCGTTGTACAACAAGACTTGAGTTTACAGAATGACTTTTGAAGGTGAGCAGATACGCCAAATAGCAACTTGAGAAACGGGCATCGATCATCTCTTATCATTCCTTGCAAAATCAGGCTCTGGAGGCGGGGCAAGGCCGCAGATATGGAGAAGAGCCATCGTCCTATGAATCTATGGTCGCACAGCAGGAGTTGGTTGCAGTCGTAACGCTGCGATATGGCCCACGTCGTCTGCAGCCTACAGGTGAAGATAGAGGAGATGCGGGGATCCTTGTTGGTGGGCGAGCGGGGATCTGCATGATGCTGTGATGGCACGATGCTTCTGTATCAGCGATACCTAAAAGCAGTGATATTGTTCTTGGGATGAATGTTGACAGCGCTGCTTTATATCAAAATTGCGACAACATGCAGCATCTGGTATTGTTATGATCAACGCTTTGAATCTGCGGTGTCAAATCGGATTTCACGTTTCCCAGATATCGCAGCTGTTGATTTCACATGTGTATTCGTGGAGTCAGGCTGTCGCAAGCTCCCCGTCGCCCGTCACGAAGACAACGTCGTACTGCTTACACGTTGCATTCCCTGCAGGCTGAGCGCCAAGCCCCTGCAAAAGTCGAGAATGACATGTCGTCTGAGCCACCCGAGCGGCAAGCCGGGTCCTCCCAAGATGATCTCTACTTTATCTAGACGACAGATGCAACTACGAACCCAAATTTGTATGCAGAGAACCAAACGGGTAAGAGCTCCTTTTTCGGGCTCCACCTCCGTGACTACGTGCTTGGCACATGCTCGGACTGGACCTAGCCAGGGATTTGGCTGACCGGTGGACATGATTATCTGACGGGTGTAGGTAATTGGCTGCGATCCGGTTGGCCGGTTCGGCTGTCTTTCCAACGTCGCTGCATAAGATGCGGAAGGGGATGCACATATTCTGTACGTGTTATTGGTGTCTGTGGGGTTTCTGTTCGTGATGGCTTGCAACTTAGGGATGGAGACTAATTAGGCATCAACATCACGGTAATGACCGTAGAGTTTCTCATATTGATATATAAGAGTTTCCAAGGGGTATGTGTGTATTGAGTGACGAAAGGCAAAAGCATGAATAAATTTGCAGTCCAGATATAGTGGATTACCTAGTCTGAGTTACACTTCTTCAAACAGAGCACGCGTAATATTCCAACCAACGTGTCGACTCACTGATTAAAATGAGGTGCAAAGGAAATAGTTTGAGATGCTTCTCAGCAGCCAGTATGAGTTTTGTCTTCAGAGTGAATTTTCAGGGAGGGGAGTACTCAGATTTCTAAATCTACTATAAAAACTACAGGATGACGCTGTGTAATCTCAATTGTTAGTTCAAAGTTTGTAGAAGACAGCTTAGGTACGTGAACTCATCTCATAGACCGACAGATAGTGATCGAAATAGCAAAAGGTTATTCGTGCAAGCGATTGGAAGCAATGGACGAGTCTGATGCATGTGAAAGAGAATACTTACGTACTGAACTGGAAAATAATTTGAGGAAGGTGCGACGCAGGGCCACAGTTACATACAAAGGGGGCAGGAGCAAAGTGAGAATTCACCTTACTTCACCTCACCTCGTTAGATTCTGCTCGTATTCTGTTTCTTCCCGCGCACAACACCCACTTCGATTGTTCACATCGGAAACAATCGATTCACAGTCAACAGTTTGCCGCAGACTGCCACAGCGAACAACGACGAACAAACCTAAGAGGAGTAAGTTACTTCTTTTTCTATCCTTGCACTGATAAAAGCTGACAGCTGCAAGATACCCCAATAGCATTCCGAACTGGCATTCAAGGCTCTGGTCCCGAGAAACACAAGATGGCAGGAAGAGCTGAAGACGAGACGATGAAGGGTACCAGTAGCCAGCTGCCGCAGGAACTGAGAATGAACAATACATCTGTGGGAGATGTCACAATGAACGATGTCGCCCCAGACAGTACCAAGCAAGGCCCATCTGCCCAGAGCAACTCCTCTTACGCAATGCAGTCAACCAATGACACATCCATGGTGGATAACACCATTATGGGCGACTTGACAATGGGTGAGGTTGTTGCAAGTACACCCAAGTGTCGTCAAACAAGCACCGCCCGGCCCTCGAGTAACTTGGTCCAAGGCAAAGATGTCACTATGGCGGACGGCACTTCTCTCCGAGATGTAACCATGGGTGACATTACGGACGACAGTCCCAAGGCCAAAATTGCCGCGAAGAATGAGCCCGCCACAGGCGGTCACAGCCTCCGCAATGATGTTTCCAGAATGGAAGCAATCGCCGCCACCTTACGCCCAAGGCCTTTACCTGTCATACCTCCTGCATCCACGGTCGAGACTACGCCTGCAGAAGGGCCAAGACTAGCCGTCTTTGAGTATGTCCCACCCGCATCATCACGCTTGCTGTTAAGTTACTAAGATTTCAAAGCTACTTTGGTAGTACAATGGTCGACTTCATCGTCGGCCCCCAGGGAAGAAAAATCTCGATTCATGCAAACGTTCTACTTGCCAACCCGGATTGCGCCTGCTTTCGAGAGACGCTCCAGCGTCAAAAGAATGGCCACGGAGCTAAAAAGCTCCGACTAATGGACCATCCTGATGTCGTCGGTCTCATGACACAATTCCTTTACACTGGCAAAGTCCCTTTCATCCCTCGAAGACTGCTCCAAAAGCACTGCGCCCCAGCCGCACGTCACTCTATCACAATGCTGTCGCACACAATTGTCAAAAATGACAGCGTTCGTGTGGGAAATGTGACCCCAGCGGCCGTTTCTCCCGAGAAGTTCCAAACGATGTCTTGGAGCATAAGCACATCTGCCGAGGAGATAAGACTTCGGGATTACGGCAACTATGGGCTGCAGATGAGTCAGAAAAGCGCAGCAGCGACCGCACCGACAGCCGACAACGCCGAGGGAAGAAGTCAAACAGTCAGATATTGGCGCGAATGTGTTCAGCCTCATCTCCAGAATGTGGAGAAAATCCCGGCTTTCGGCATGTCGACACTTCGTGTGGAGGCCGAGTTCTACCAATCGAAGCTTGTCCAACTGATGCTCTTCGCAGACAGATACGACATGGCATGGCTGTTTCATGACACGCTCGCATCGTACTGCAAGGGAGAAGCGCTGTTCCAACGCGACCGCCCTGTGGAGCGACATGTCGAGCTAGCCTACCGATGCGAGACGTTCCGTTTGCTCCCAGAGCTCATGGTGGAATATGGACGTTTCTGTGCTGGGAGGCGAGCTAGCGACATTGACATCATGTTTCGCGGATATCTTCCGGACTTCGTTGCAGATGTCAAGCTCAAGACGACAGAAGGGAACCCCATTCCGCCCATCATCGGCCGGTTTTTGAGAATGCAGATCTGAGCGACAGGAGATGCCTGTGTTACATAACGGTTGGACGCCGAAGGGACCGTAAGGCTGTAAGGATGTGAATGCGCCAAAGGGCGTCATAGGGCGTGTGCTCCTGTTGGATAATATTTGTTGGATTGGCCACGGTAGTGATGTACGAACAATGAAGCAGTAACTTGTATCTGATTTCAATTACTTGAATGAACGAATGCCGAGCAGTGAACACCTGGGCTGTTCTTTGCAGTCAGCTTGACGGCAGTGCACTAGTTGGGATGGTGGTCTGCTGCTGACATTCATGCTGCTAAGCACGGAAACGTATGGAATATTTGACATTACGATCATCGAGTCATGGGCCTGCCCATGGCATGTATCCGAGTGTACAGGAACAATTCGCCTGTAGCACTGGTTGATTCAGAACCCAGTCCGCTTCCTAAGCCTCAAAGTTGTACTTCTTACGAGCCCGACCCTCGATGAAAGAAGGCCAGAGCAGGTACAGATACTGCGCGATAGCATACGGCATCTTCGGGAGCACCACGTTGCCCGTCACACCACGGTCGATCGAGTCGATACACCTTTCAGCGACGTAGTCGATTTTCAACCCGTTCTTGTTGGGGTCATCTTCCCTCACGGGGCCCGAATCCACCGCGGACGCTCGGAAGTTTCCTTCAATGGTGGCGGGCAGGATGAAAGTGAAGGCAATCTTCGGGTGCTCGATGGCTAATGATTGGAACAGCAGGAGAGAAGAAGCCTTGGTCGCGGCATAAAGAGCTCTTGTCGGCGCGGGGATGACGGCGGCAACTGATGAGACGAGGAGTATCGAGGGAGATTTTGATGTTCTCGTCAACATGGGAATCTGCAAGCTTGTCAGTCATACAGCCAAGCAAAGCCGTGCGTGACTCTTTTGTCTCTTACGAATGTCAGCGCAGAAGCTAAAGGCCCGTCAAAGTTGCCTTTGATAGCACGCCCCGCGATATTGACCGCCGCCTGGATCCCAACGGCCTCGGCATCCTCCTCCGCGGACTTGACACCGGTGAGGGCCATGACGGGTTGCAAAGCCGATACTCCCGCGCAAATGTGCAGCGTATCCAGACCCTGCCATTCCTTCTCAAGCCGGGTCCTCAGACTGACAAGGTCCTCCACATTGCTGAAGTCTGCGACTTGCCATATGCACTTGTCCCCGCACTCCTTGGCCAGGGTGGTGATCTCGTCTGCGCGGCGGGCGACAACGCAGACTCGTGCTCCGCGGGCGGCATACTGCTTTGCTACAGCGCGGCCGACGCCGCTCGAAGCTCCGATGATGACCACACGCTCATCCGAGTGTGAGAGGCGCTTGTCTCTTCTGCGTGCTTGTGCTGCTAGTTGGCGCTGGGCGAGAAGAACCGCGAGCGCGGTGAGCGCCATGCGAACGACGGGGTATCCCATTGCTAAGGTCAGTCAAGATCAATCCACGCCCTGGTTTCTGAAGCGATTCAAAGGATGGAATACGAATTCAATATCAAGGTAGGTAGTGAGAGCAGATGTTGGACATAGCTTCAGCTGGGATGCCTCGGCCCATGCCCTGGCCCATGACGCCAACTCCCTGCAAGGACGTGCAGCAGATGACTAAGCTTTGGACAGGGGTTCATGAACAATTTACGCGAACAACGCGTCTGAGACGCGACTTTGAATTATCCAACCCGCCCGCACTCAAGACATCCCGGCAACCCACCACCGGCGACGATTGACGGTTGCGCTTTCGAGCAAGTCGCCAGACACACAAACACACAACTCCAAACCCAGATATGCCTCATTCTGTATCGCCAGAAGCCAATTCTCCCACCGCGGTTCCCGACGAGACGATGGCCAACTCTCCTGTCCCGCCCAACGCCGACGGCGACGTTGCTATGGCTGAGGCTGATGCGCCCGCGGTTGCTGCCCCCGAGGCTGCTGCTCCTGAAGCCTCTGCCCCCGAGCCCTCTGCTACCGAGCAAAAGAAGGACATCAAGTTGGAGGATCTGTTCGATGACGCGGACTCAGACGACGAGTTTCCCAGCTCAAAACCCCAAGAAACTCCCGAGAGTTCTCCCGAGATCCTCACGCCTCCCTCTCCAACGTGAGTTCTGCAGTCAAATCTTCTTGGCTTCATGCTGACGCGCGAGGCAGAGATATCGCACACATGAAGGCTTCCGACCCCGAAATCATGCGCAGTTTCTACCAGCGCTTGTTCCCCTGGCGATACCTCTTCCAGTGGCTCAACCACAGCCCCTCTCCGACGAACGACTTTGGCCACAGAGAGTTCGCCTTCACACTGCAGAACGACGCATATCTACGATACCAATCTTTTGCGACACATGACCTGTAAGCGTGGACTTGACTCGCAATGCTGAAGAATCTATCCTAACGTGCTGCAGCCTGCGCAAAGACGTCCTCCGCCTCATGCCCTCCCGTTTCGAAATCGGCCCCGTTTACAGCACCAACCCTCGCGACCGCAAGACCCTCCGCAACGCCAGCGCCTTTAAGCCCCTCGCCAAGGAGCTCTGCTTTGATATCGATTTGACGGATTACGACGACATCAGAACGTGCTGCGACAAGGCCAACATTTGCATCAAGTGCTGGCAGTTCATAACCATGGCGATCAAGGTGGTTGACGTTGCTCTGCGGGACGACTTTGGTTTCAAGCACATCATGTGGGTTTACTCGGGACGAAGAGGTGCTCACGCGTGGGTTTGCGACAAGAAGGCGAGAACGATGGGTGACCAGATGAGGCGGTCGATCGCGGGGTACCTCGAGGTCATCAAAGGTGGTGCGCAGAGTGGAAAGAAGGTCAACCTGTGGCGGCCATTACACCCCCATGTCCAGTAAGCATTCCTCACCCTTTACTCCCAAGGCGACGCACTAACCTGGTGCTGCAGACGAAGCTTGGACACTCTCATGCCACACTTCCAAGAAGACGTCCTCGAAAACCAGGACCCCTGGTCGTCTAACGAACGCGCAGAGCGCCTGCTACAGCTCCTTCCGGACAAGACGCTCATCGACAACCTCCGCAAGAAATGGGACGCCTCCCCCGGCCGGTCTTCCATCAACAAGTGGGCCGACATCGACGCCGTCGCTAAGACGAGCGCTGGCAAGAAGTTTGACGCGAGGGGGCTTCTGGACGCAAAGCAGGACATTCTCCTCGAGTACACGTATCCACGCCTCGATATCGAGGTGAGCAAAAAGCTGAACCATTTGCTCAAGTCGCCGTTCGTCGTGCACCCCGGCACCGGCAGGGTGTGTGTACCCATCGACACGAAGAACCTCGAGGATTTCGACCCCCTTAGTGTGCCAACGGTGCAGGGCTTGTTGGCGGAGATCGATGCGTGGAAGGGCGAGGAGGAGGGCGACGGGGCGCAAAAGAGCGTGCAGGACTGGGAGAAGACGAGCTTGAAGCCGTACGTGGAACAATTCCGGTCCTTTGTGATTGGGTTGATGAAGGACGAGAGGGACAGCAAAATCAAGAGGGAGAGGGAAGACGACTCGATGGAATTCTGAGCGCAAATTCGACATGACTTGTATGATGGACAACTCGGTACCGGGGTCGGTGTTCTTGTCTTGGCACAGCAACTGGGGTATTATTGGATCTAATTATCACCTGTCAAATGCAGGCTATGATGCACTCTCGGCCGTCTTGGCCTCCTCGCCCTTTGCCTCTGCTGGCTCGGGTACAGCAACATTCTCTGTGATGGTCTGCTGCTCATCCACGTCTTCGTCATCTTCTTCCTCGAACCTGCTGTCCTCGACCTCTGCCGTCGGTGTCCCGCTCGTGCTGCCTCCCTCGCCTTTGAGATGCGCCTCCTTGCGCTTGGGTATGACGCTCAAGAACGCCTCAGCCCAATCGCCCGTCTCCAGCCACTTGAGCATGATCTCCACCACATGGTTTGTAGCAAGCACCCTTCTGCTGGAGATGTTCATGTACTCCCCAATAGGCAGCTTTGCTGTTCGGATACCCAACTCCCTCGCGCGACGGTGGCACAGGCCCTTCTCACGGTTACGGTCCACTAGTCCGCCGATAACGTAGCTGACACCAGGTTCAAGGCGATCGATCGTGTTCGGGGAGTCGGCAGAGAGGTAGACGATGTTCTTCAACTCGTCCACCGGTTCCGGCTCGTGGTCGGGGGTCGGCGCATTGTCGTCCACATCCCTCATAACAGCAGGCTTCTCCTTGCCCTCGCCCTTGAGCACCTCAATCACCTCCCCACCCTTCTGACCCGCCATCAACTCATCCGCATCCTTCGCCGCCTCCACGAAGTTGCTCTCGACGAGCTTCACCCCCTTCCAGCCGTTGTGCTGCCCGCCCAGGGTCGTGTCGAACCGCTCCTTGAGCTTGCCGCCGTACGAGCTGACGTACAGGTGCACGCGGTAGCGCGCCTGGCGGTTGTCGGAGTAGCAGCGCGTGATCTGGCTCGCGAGGCTGACGAGCTCCTTGTCGAGCATGTAGCTCTCAAAGTCGCAGTCGAGGATCAGGGTGACCGGTGTCTGGACGGCGGGGACCTTGGGGGTCTTGCGCTTCGGGGGAATGACGATCTGCGAGGGGTCGAGCCCCTTGGCCTCGGCGTCCGCGACGATGGCGGCGATCTGGTCGCGGCGGGCGGCCTGGCGGTCGTGGCGCTTTTCTTTGCGCTTGCGCTTACGGTCCTCGCGGCCCTCCTCGAAGGCTTGTTTGCGTTTCAGTTTGCGGAGTTGATTCTTGGAGAGCTTGGGTTCTTCTTCAGCGACGGCGGGGGAGGCGTCGTCGTTCTCAGCGGCGGTTTTGGAGGCGGGTTGAGCTTCGGATTCGGGTGCCCCGCTACTTGACGCTGCAGCACCGTTGTCGCCATTGGCGATCGTAGGGACGGCGGATGTGGTTTCTTGGTTGCTGTCGGTCATCTCGAGGTCTACGGCCGGCTGGGCGACAGGGCCTGCAGCCGTGGAAGCCATCCTTGTGGTTGTGAGGCTGGTGACGGGTGCAAAGTTTGGGGTGCGAAGTGGGGGACTTTTTGGAAATTTCGGCGATGGTTTGCGATGGTTGACCTGGAGCCGATGCGCAGCTGCACCTTTGGAGAGAGACGCTAAGCCGTTTGTGGGGAATGGCGGGGCGGACGACGCTGCTGCACGGAGACACTGAGTTCGTGCTCTTAGGTGCAGCGTTCTGGAGAGCATGCACGCTGGTGGCCTTTTGATGCTGCTTGTGCGATATGGATTGTAGTAGGAACAAATTGAAGACGATGAAATGTGTTCGAGCTGGAATTGAGTCACAGGTGCGGAGGTATTGAACCTGCTATGACTGGGAATAGTCAATGAACAATTCTAGAATCTCAAAATCAGCACCAGTAGAGAGCTTTCACGCTTAACCAGAATGGGCCTAGACTGCCGCTCAGGATTTCCAGCTGTGGCAGAAAAGTGAAGGCGGTCAGATAGGATCCGCCAAAGGAGGACTAGCGCGGTCGCGACGCGAAATGGCAATCGAAGACGCGCTCCCGGGAAACCACTTTAACACCCGCGTAAGGTACCTAAAGCAAGCTGCACTCGGGAGGGTGATACTCGCTGGTTACACTCATTTCACCCATAACGTTCTTCTCCTTCTCACTTGTCTTTTTTGAGCATTCTACCATATCCCAACATGTCTTCCAGGCCTGAATTGAAGGTTTGTACTACAAATGCACGATTACCATGTCAATTGGCTAATACGTCACCAGGTCGACGACGAGCACGGCTTCATCCACTTCTTCAAGTCCCTCTCAACCGTCCACGAAGACACCGTCCGCATTTTCGACAGAGGTGATTGGTACACCGCACACGGCGAAGATGCCAACTTCATTGCCCGCGCAGTATGTTGGACCTTACCGTAGCAAACCGCCTGCAGTACTGACTTTGTGCAGGTATACAAGACCACGTCCGTCGTGAGGACACTCGGCCGAGATGACAAGACCGGACTTGCCTCCGTGACAATGACGGTCACGGTATTCCGACAATTTCTTCGAGAAGCTCTTTTCAAGCTTGGAAAGAGGATAGAGATATGGGAGAGCACCGGCGGCCGCATGAACTGGAAGGTCGTCAAACAGGCGTCGCCTGGCAACCTGCAGGACGTCGAGGAGGACTTGGGCGGACAGATCGAGAACGCACCCATGATTCTAGCCGTCAAGATCTCTACGAAAGCATCTGAGGCAAGGAGCGTGGGTGTCTGTTTTGCAGACGCGAGTGTGCGAGAGCTGGGCGTTAGCGAGTTCCTCGACAACGACCTGTTTTCCAACTTCGAGGCTCTCCTCATCCAGCTCGGTGTCAGGGAGTGCCTGATCCAGACAGACAAGGCCGACAAGGCCAAGGACCCGGATCTGACGAAGCTCAAGCAAATCATCGTCAACTGCGGCGTTGCCATCTCAGAGCGATCCGGCGGCGAGTTCGGCACCAAGGATATTGAGCAGGACTTGGCGCGTCTTCTCAAGGACGAGCGGGCTACTACCCTGCTCCCTCAGACCGACCTCAAGCTGGCGATGGGCTCCGCCGCGGCACTTATCAAGTACCTCGGCGTGCTCCATGACCCTTCCAACTTTGGGCAGTACCAGCTTTACCAGCATGACCTCTCCCAGTATATGAAGCTGGATGCGGCGGCTTTGAAGGCTCTGAACCTGATGCCCGGTGCCCGTGATGGTGCTAAGACGATGAGCTTGTACGGCTTGTTGAACCACTGCAAGACTCCTGTCGGTAGCAGACTGCTGTCTCAGTGGCTGAAGCAGCCGCTCATGAGCAGGGAGGAGATTACCAAGCGCCAACAACTGGTCGAGGCCTTTGTGAACGACACGGAGCTGAGACAGACCATGCAAGAGGAGCACCTTCGTTCCGTTCCCGATCTGTACCGCCTGGCCAAGCGTTTCCAGAGAGGCAAGGCGAACCTCGAGGACGTGGTCCGCGCATACCAGGTTGTCATTCGCCTCCCTGGTTTCCTGGGCACTTTCGAGGGCGTTATGGACGAGCAGTACAAGGACCCTCTCGACGAAGCCTACACAATCCCTCTTCGCGAGCTCTCCGATAGTCTCGTGAAGCTTGCAGAGATGGTTGAGACAACGGTTGACTTGGACGCGTTGGACAACCACGAGTACATCATCAAGCCCGAGTTTGACGACAGCCTTCGCATTATCAGAAAGAAGCTCGATAAGTTGAAGCGCGATATTGACCAGGAGTTCTCCGACTCAGCCCGCGACCTGAAGCAAGAGGTCGGCAAGAAGATCTTCCTCGAGAACCACAAAGTCCACGGCTATTGCATGCGTCTTACCAGACAAGAAGCCGGAGCGATCCGCAACAAGTCCGGTTACCAGGAATGCTCAACCCAGAAGAACGGAGTCTACTTCACCACCAAAACCCTCCAAAGCCTCCGCCGCGAGTTCGATCAGCTTTCCCAAAACTACAACCGCACCCAGAGCAGTCTCGTGAACGAGGTTGTGGGTGTTGCGGCGTCTTACTGTCCTGTTCTGGAGAAGCTTGCCGGCGTGCTTGCCAATCTTGATGTGATTGTCTCTTTTGCACACTGCTCCGTTCACGCCCCATCCGAGTACGTCCGTCCCACGATCCATGCCCGTGGACAGGGTCAGACCATCCTCAAGGAAGCCCGTCACCCCTGCCTGGAGATGCAGGACGATGTCCAATTCATCACCAACGACGTCTCATTAACCAGAGACAAGTCCTCCTTCCTTATCATCACTGGTCCTAACATGGGCGGAAAGTCGACCTATATCCGGCAGATCGGCGTTATTGCCCTTATGGCGCAGATTGGGTGCTTCGTGCCATGCGCTGAAGCTGAGCTGACGATCTTCGACTCCATCCTGGCGCGTGTGGGTGCCAGCGATTCACAGCTGAAGGGTGTCTCGACTTTCATGGCTGAGATGTTGGAGACGGCAAACATTCTCAAGTCAGCAACGGCTGAGTCTCTCATCATCATTGATGAGTTGGGACGTGGTACATCGACATACGACGGCTTCGGCCTCGCCTGGGCCATTTCAGAGCACATTGTTAAGGAGATTGGATGCTTCGCCATGTTCGCGACGCATTTCCACGAGCTAACAGCGCTGGCCGACGAGCACCCACAAGTCCACAACCTTCACGTCGCAGCACACATCAGCGGCGGCACTGAGGGCGGCGAGAACACCAAACGTGAGGTCACGCTCCTGTACAAGGTGGAAGACGGCGTCTGCGATCAGAGCTTCGGTATCCACGTCGCTGAGCTGGTCCGCTTCCCCGACAAGGTCGTGCGCATGGCGAAGCGCAAGGCCGACGAGCTCGAGGACTTCACCTCGAAGCACGAGGACCTCGGGCTGAAGTACAGCAAGACGGACATGGAGGAGGGCAGCGCGATGCTCAAGGAGATCCTGCTCAAGTGGAAGGAGGAGGTTGCCGCAGGCTCGATGAGCAAGGAGGAGATGGTGTCCAAGCTGAAGGGTTTGGTTATGGCGGACGAGAAGCTGCTTGCGAACCCCTTCTTCCAGTCTGTCAAGACGTTGTAAAGGTTGAATCCAGAACAATGAGGCGGACATGATTTTGCTTTGGTTTGCTCGGCGTTCGGGGGAATTATGGAAAGTGTAATGATACTGGCTGGTTTATGGCCTATGGGATAGTTACGTAAGATAAAGCGTAGACAAAATGCACTGAGAAGATGTAAGGTACAACCAAGTGTCGTTCCAAGCACCTTTGGATTGTGTAAGGCTCGTCTAGAAAGCTACTTCGTGATGGCCCAGGTGCCTTACAAAGCTGTTGACCCAGCTCAGGTCCCTTGATTGCAGCTGAACCCGGGAAGCTTTCATAGCTCACCGAACCCTCCCAATAAGGCAGGACCAACTCCTTGGCTCCTTCCCGTTCTGTCCCGTTCCGCAGTAAACATCCTCCAGGCAGCAGACAAAGGTACTTAGGCTCCATCGAAGGCATCGGTCATCAACCAGGACACATACGACACGGCCATCCTCCCGGATGGCTGAGTGATAAAAGCACCAGCACAACATAATACCTGGTTCGCCAGGGGAGCTCTGGTATCCCTCCAGGCGCGCTTAGTTCGACCCTGATCCGCGGCAGCACAAGGGCGTTTTTTCTTAACACTGTTTTTGCTTTTCTTTTTTCTTGTCGATTTTATTCAGTCAGGAGAGGCGCATCTGGGTTCAGAAGTAGGGTGTCAGTGAACTGAGGTGTGACAAATATGTCAGGTGTGAGAATGGGAAGGAGAGGAATGGTGTCAGATGTAAAGATAGAACGGTGATTGGTCGAATCATATGTAGTCATAAACAGCCTCTGAAGCTGAGTATCATCATGAAGAACGGGGGCGAAACCGAATGGAAAGAACGTACCGTAATGAGGAGGAGCAACGATCCTCGCCTGCCACACATGTTGGAGCAGTGAACGAGACGAGACATTCGGCGGCTATCAGGGGTGAAGAAGTCTTGGTTCAGAAGTCAGTCGCGTGATGACAAACAAGTCCATTGTGCAAGTAACTTGGGGTATTTGTAGGGTATCAGAAAGTGATAGAACGGTGATGATTCGAATCATGTTGATGTAATCATAAACAGCCTCTGAAGCTGAGTCTCATCATAAAGGAGCGGTAGGGAGGAGATCGTGGACTTGACTTACGAGTACAACTAGAATACGCTATACGTGCGACGCGACGAGCATTGCCTGAATACGGGAGAGACCTGAGCAACACGGTTAGCTGCTGACGGCACTCGAAAGGATATGTGACGATAGTGTGCAAGGGGTAAGTGTCAGACAAAAAGATAGAACGGTGATGTTTGAATCATGGGGTTCATAAACAGCCTCTGAAGCTGAGTATCATCATGAAATGGAGGAGAGTAAAGACGCCTAATAGGCATAAGGAAACTTACATCTACTGGGATAAGGATCACACGGGGACGTGGTCGGTGAGGAGATCAAAGGTCTGTTGGGTGGTCAGTTACTGCTTCTCA